TGCCTCGGTATTGTATTAGTCAAAAATCTACCTAACGACTACGCTGAGAAACGTACTCGCTTATTGCGTTTGGCATCCGTATTCTCATCATTACCTGAAGACATAAAAAATAAGACAGTACATGAAGAAAGTTCGTATAGTTTTGGGTGGAGTTGCGGCAAAGAAGTTATGAATGGAAAACCTGGTAATTGTTTTAGTGAACGTTAGATTGAGTTTTGAAAACAATTCAAAAAATAGATTTAAACGTCATAGTTTGATGTTTATAATAGATTATTTGAAAGGATCATATTACGCAAATCCAAAATATGATATCCCTAATGCAACTCCAGAACAAAAACTAGAATTTCCAATTTATTGTCATCCGAATATTTGGCCTAAAGACGACTTACCACAATTTGAGATAATAAATGAACAAAAAAATTCGTACTGTATAAAATACTTATCATTAAAATGTCCAAAAATTTCTTGATATCTACATATAATAAGGTAAAGTGATCACATATTTCTATTTCTATTTATAAACGCACATTTCATATTTTTAAAAAACTTTTAGCGTCATATATTTATTTTTGACTATTTTTGTCCGATTCTTTTATTTTTAATAATTTTTTAAAACTTTTATCTTTCTATAGATTGCTTGAGGTTCTGTAATACTAATTTATATATTTGTAAAATAGATTTGATATAAAATAAATTACTATTATTTTTAATAATAAAATTATATTAAGAAACAAATTAATTTCTAATTTTAAAAAGTAAAAATTTTATTTGTAGTTTATATACTATATTTATTTTATTTTTTAAATTATTTTTTAAGCAAATTTGTCTAGAATTTTTAAATTATTTGATAAATATTATTATAACACTAAATTATAATAAGTAAAAACCTTCAATGTATAATTTTTCTAGAATTGAAAAAATCTGGCCAATGGGGCCGATCACATAACTCTTTCTGACGATCACTTGTACCAAATCTTCTCTACAAAAAACTGCATTTCTACATAATTTTACTAAGTAAACTTTAGTTAGCTGACTAAGTAAACTTGTTTTACACAAGATTTTACATATAGACAGTTCTTCATTGTATCTCTTTAGCCCCTCTACAAAGAGATATAGCATATCCGTTCAAACTCTTACTTTCTTAAAAAAACTTATAATTTTATTAAATAAATACTGCTTGCTACCTAATACAAAAAGATAAAGCTCATTTTGAGCTTCATTTTGACATATAATATATAATAAATGGACTTTTACTTAAGATTTTACCTAAAAAACTGCACAAACTCCTCTGCAAAAACTTCCTGTTTTTTTTGCAAAAAGTTTTTGCTTTTTTCTAGGGGTTCTGGCCCTCTAGGATGTTCAAACCTGTAGATCCCTATTACAAATCAATATTACTAATTAATTTACACAAAACATTATTTGTTTCACCTATTTTTATCTCTAATTTTAAATTTACTATTTTTGTTTTAGCATCTTTACACAACTCTCGTTACACTACTACTACATCACACCAGGTTATACAAATGCACTAGTCACATCAGCCACAATATTCTTATTCTACTATTACACAAGGTTATACAAAATTACACTCACCAGCCACATCAGCCACAACTCAATTTAACTCCCGTTTTTACTCCAACTCCTAAAAACAACTTTGCTAAAATCTAACAATAATAAGTTTTTATTAATAAAACTTAAAATTACTTTATAAAATTATATACAAAATATCAAATACAACAACTACACATAATACCACTACCTCCACATCAAAATTCGACTGGTTTAAAAACTTTCTACCCGGCAAAAGACATGAAAATTTTCTACCACTTGCACAACAAACTATTATCCTTCTATCAACCTACTTAAAAAATTTTTATCTTGACCAAACATACAAAGCAACAACCAAAAACAAAAAATCAAAAAAGAAAAATTTTGACAACATTCTTAAAGAAATAACAAGACAAAAACCAAAATTCTTAG